AAAGTGTTCAGAAGAGAGAAAAAGGCCCAGGATAAACCATCAGTGCTTCAACATTTAGAAGCCAAAGAGAGGCAGAGAATTCAACAAAGACTGAGCTGAATTGGTAAAGGAACCAATGAGAAAAGAGGAAATTCCAGATGAAAATGAATAAAATATCAGCAAGATAGTATTTGCAAGTATTTTCTTAGTTTCTGTATATGGAAAAAAAAAAAACCTGGTAATGCAAGAGAAGTAACCAATCTCAAAAATCTTATAATTTTGAAAGGAAATAAAAATAAGCACCATATAAATAATATAGTTCATAGCCTGTTAACTGGTTTCCCTATTCAGATTTGGCTCCAATTCATTGTACACAGACCACAATGTTAATTTCCCCAAGACAGCATCTACTGAGTTAAAATTATCAACTTTAAATAAAACTGATCAGAGTTGTACATTCAAGAACTTCCTTTGCCTGCTGGGCGTGGAGACGCACGCCTGTAATCCCAGCACTCAGGAGGCTGAGGCAGGAGGATCATTGCGAGTTCAAGACCAGCTTGGGCTACAAAGTGAGCTCAAGTCCAGCCTGAACTGCATAGCGAAACCCTGTCTCAAAAAGGGTAAAAAAAAAAAAAAGAGAGACAAAAAAAAGTACTTTCTTTGCCTATGTAGTCAAGTACCAGATCATCATTCTGGCACTCAACAAAGAATGGCTACAGCCTCATCTACTGTTTCCTTTATGAAATTTTACAGCGTTGGTTGCCTCATTTAGCATCGATTCTATGCCTTCCTGCCTTTGTAATTAGTGTATTTATTTTTCCTTTGTCTAGATCATGAGCCCTTTCAAAACAGATTATGCCTAAACTCCTTGCTTAACTACATTTATTTTTTTTTAGCCAAGTAGACAAAGACCACCAAACTTTAATCATATAATATAAAGCACTACTGTTATAATGGAGCAAAACTTGAGTACCATAAAATTAGATTAAGGCTTATTAGGAGCCAGGCGTGGTGGTGCATGCCTGTAATCCCAGCACTTGGAAGCCTGAGGCAGGAGGATTGTTGCAAGTTCAAGACCAGCCTGGGCTACAAAGTGAGCTCAAGGCCAGCTTGAACTGTATAGCGAGACCCTGTATCAAAAAGACAAAAACAAAAAAGGCTTATTGTAGGAATGAAGGAGGGATGTACCTACAAATAGCAAAATAGTCTAAAGCCAGATTACACAAAGCCTTTTATGCCAAACTGAGGAGTTCAGATGTTATTCTGTTGGGGAAGGCTAATGAAGTTTTGCTATTCATATCTGTGCTTCAGGGATTTTTTTCTTCTTTTTCTTTTTTTTTTTGTCTTTTTGAGACAGGTCTCACTATGTAGCTCAGACTGGCTTTGAGCTCACTTTGTAGGCCAGGCTGGTCTCGAACTCACAACGATCCTCCTGCCTCAGCCTCCCTAGTTCTGGATTACAGGTGTATACCACCATGCCTGATTTAAGGAAGACTAATATGAGTATACTCTACAGGGAAAAAACTGGAAAAACTAGAATTTTTCAATAGGTGAGAAAAACTTACTAAGTTCTGGGAAGCATGCATGCAATGACATAGTAAAGAAGAAAATGAATGCCAGAAACATTTAGACAGAACACTAGGATCAGTAACTAAATATTAAACCTGACCAAAAGGAATGACAAAATGTAGATTCTAACAGTATATGTTTTCAACATAGTAAATCCTTTGCAAAACTAAAGGAGCTGTAAAATAGCTGGTTAATCAAATTTATTGATAACATTGGTAATTAACACCATGTCAGGGTCTCTGTTTTGTGTTTTATGTACATTGTGTCGCTTAGTCTTTTTTTTTTCTTTCTTTCTGGTTTTTTTTTTTTGTCTTTTTGGGACAGGGTTTAATTATGCAGTGCAAATTGGCCTTGAACTCACTTTGTAGCCTAGGTTGGCCTCAAACTTGCAGCAATTCTCCTGCCTCAGCCTCCTGAGTGCTGGGATTATAGGTGTGCACCACCATACCTGGCTTTCATTTAGTCTTTACAGCTCCACAGATGCTACTGTTATCATTCCTTTTAATTTCCTTTTTTTTTTTTTTTTTTGTCTTTTTGAGACAAGGTCTCGATATGCAGTCCAGGCTAGCCTTGAGCTCATTTTGTAGTCCAGTTGGTCTTGAACGTACAACAATCCTCCTGCCTCAGCCTCCTGAGTGCTGGAATTACAAGCATACACACCATGCCCAGCTTCATTCCCATTTTATGGATTAAATAACTGAAGGAGAGAGGAAGCAATTAAATTGTCCAAAATTACATAGTGATGGAGGAGATAACTGAACTCAGTCTGACTCCTTTCCCTTATAATTCAGTTACATACTGAGTCTGTTGAATTTGAACAATACAAAAAAGAAAAATGTTTAAAAAGCCAGATAATAACACAAATGTGTGTATTAAATTGGGTTTAATTTGAGCCAGTCGTGGTGGCACACATCTATAATCCTAGCACTTGGGAGGCTGAGGGAGGAGGATCACTGCAAGTTCAAAGCCAGCCTGGGTTACATAAGCAAGTTCTCGAGGCCGGCCTGCACTACACACGGAGACCCTGTCTCCAAAAAAAAGGATTTAACTGTCAAAAAATTCATTTATTTATTTTTAGAGTGCTGGGATTGAACCCAGAGCCTCACATAGCTAAGCAAGTGTTCCACAAGAGCTACACATCCAGCCCCAAGAGAAAACGTATAGAAGTAGTAGTTCCTACTCAGCTATACTTAAACATTGCCCTATAGGAATTTCAAGTTTTGTATTGTATTTTGAAGCTGTTTCATGAAAAGATGGAATTTCCCAATATTTGAATGTCAACTAAAATGTTTAAAACTACTATGTGGCCCAAACTAAACATGGCTACAGATTTGCTTCTTATCAAAAGGAATTTTTTTTTTAATCTTTTTAAGACAGGTATTTGCTATGCAGTTCAGGCTGGGCTTGAACTCACTTGGTAGCCCAGGCTGGCCTCGAACTTGAAGCAATCCTCCTGCATCAGCCTCCCGAGTGCTGAGATTACAGGCATGCGCCACCACACCTGGCTCAAAAGGAAATTCAAAATTGGATTTAAAGTGAGAGAGCAGGGTTTGAGATACAGGATTAAGGGAATCTTCAAGCACAGAGTAGATAGTAGATGCAGTCGTAGTATGTATTGCTAGAATGATAATCAGCATTTGACACTAGTTAAAACAATGCAAATACAGAGTTCGACAAAAAAGTATACATCAAGAAAAGAAAAATGTATAAATATTTTAATGTTTTGAGACATCATGAGATTAATCCAAATTATCTTTAGTTTGTACAATTACAAGAGGTGCTCCAAGTGGTGACCATTAGCTTCCAGACATTTATTAGTGTGGTGAACTGCTAAAGTGTGCATACATGTTTTTGGAGGACTCTATATATGTTAACAAGTTAGAACTCTTACAGAAAAATGACAAAATAGAAGTGTAAACCTAGCAGTTTAAGTGGGTATGTTTAAAATTTGTTTTTCTGAGCCATGCATGGTGGTGTACAACTGAAATCTCAGTACTCAGGAGGCTGAGGCAGAAGGATTGGTAAATTTGAGGCCAGCCTATACTAGATAGTGAGTTCAACACCACCCTGAACTGCGTAACAATACCGTCTGAAAAGACATAAATAAATAAATATAATTTCAATTTTCTATGAACTAAAAAGTACAAATTGTGATCACAAAATACGGTGAATGTTTAAATTAAAAATTTATTGTAGTAAAAGACACACTGTCATTAATCTCCCTTAAACTATTCCCCCTTGACACAGCCCATCTTTTTTTGCTACTTTTAAAGCAGTTCTGGAAGTCCTCTTTGTGTCTTTAGTTGTGTTGACATGGCTGCTTCCCTGTCTTGACTCAAAACATTTACTTTCAATGGTTATTTTGACTTTGGCAAAGAGCCAGAAGTCACAGATGCTGGATCCAGTGAATAAGATGGATAAGGACATACCATAATGTTTTTATTTTTTAATTTAAATATTTACCATTTTGGTGATCACACTTCATAAATTCCATGCAATTAGTGAAATTTTTAGGTATTCAAGATGTGATGGAAACATTTCAAAACTATACATGTTTGTTTCTCCCAATGATTAAAGGTAATTGAAAATTGTGTTTTAACCATATTTTAATTTTTTTACCTTACATTACTGTCTCCCGGTTCAGTTTCTCACATCCATTCATACGTGCAAAGCCCTTACCAGAGGGAGTCACAATTAGCAAAGACTAAATAAAAGATTAAGTAAAACTTTTTTTTTTTAAATGGGAATCGAACTCATGACCTCGTGCTTGCCAGGCAGGTGCTGTGCAGCTGAACTATATCCTCGGCCATGTAAAATCTTTTTTAAAATATTTAATCACTGAATTTCAAATTCCTTTTTTGTTTTGTGTTGTTTTCTCGGTACTGGGAATCGAACTCAGGACCTTGCACTTGCTAGGCTGGCGCTTGTGCCACTGAGCTGTATCCTCAGTCCCTCAAATTCCTTAATTATTAGAACATCCAGGTTTTAGGGCAAAGTGACTATTCTCTCTATTCGTCTAGACCAGTATGTTTTCAAACAAATGTACAGTACTTATTATCAGATATGAGAAATGTAAAAAAAAGTTTTGTAAAAATATCGCGTATCTGAAAGCATTTCTGCAGACTGAATCCCTAAGGAAATTATAAGGGAGTACCCTGATGTTATCCTGAAGCTAGAAGTATCCCGAAATTATAAAGTGAAACCTCTTATATTTGAAACAAGATGTGTAGCTTTCCCAAAAATAACAGTTTGCTCTTTTTTTGATACAGAAACTAACTCCAGGAATGACAATGACTTTTCCAGTTCTTGAAGTTGAAGTGAAATTGATTCCATAGCACTAGTTGTAGTAATGTGATACGGTGGGAACTACTATTCTGTGGCAAAGATCTGAAGATGCTAGAATGGTATAGGAACTTTCAGAGCCGCACCACACCCTCTGTTATCAGATGTACATGTTCGGTAGGGTGCAGTGCTCCTGGAAATTGTATTAAGGACTCTATGCTTTCGACACCAAGAGCTGTTTTGACATGTCAAAACAAAGTTTGGGTCTTTGAAAACCATGCCCTTTACATGCATGACTTTTAGGTCATGCATGTTAAAACACATACACTTCTTACGCATGGTATCAAGAACTGTATATTCAAAATGGAGATGGGGACATTTTTTGTTAAGTATCTGGAAACAGGACTCCATTTTTGTCGCAAACGATGGAACACCAACTCATCCTTTAGAATATTACCTGAGAAGTATAAATGGCTCAACCTGACAGCTTTGCAAAACCTAATCCTACTTATGTGGACTTTACATAAAATGAAAATACAATCTTTAACGTGCTTTAAAGAACATAAAAAACAAAAATGAGGTAGCAGTTTAAAATCCTCCAAACGCCCGCGCTGTGCACACTTGGGAGAAGCCTGGCACAGGCTGGGCATTGCTCGGTGACCGCTGGCCGCACATTCCTTTGGGGAAAGCTGCTTCTAGCCTGAGGTGTGAAGACAACAGCCCTTCCCTTCCGTTCGTCCCTCGTTCACCGCACAGGGCGATTCCACAAGCGGCCGAACGCTTTCTCTTCGCTCTGGGGTGCACGCCTTGTCTCCTCAGGACTCTCCCCACAGGCTGCCAAGCCGAGGACCTCGAGACAGGCGGCGATTCCCCGCGCGGCGCCCCGGGGGCGCCAGGCCTGGCCCGGCAGCCCGGTCCCAGGAAGCCAGCCCGGGGTGCAATCACAGCTCCTGGGGCGCCAGGAAACTTCAGTGCCCTGACCCGACACATAGCGGAGTCGGGTAAGGTAAGCGAACGGTGCGTTTTCTTCCCGTATTCCCGGCGCAAAAAACGAGGACGAGAAAAAAGGGGCTTGGGCAGCGGGGACGGGACGCAGGGAACAAAGAGCCCGTGCGGCAAAAACAGGCAGGCACGGCAGCGCAGACTCCAGAGGCTCGTCGCCCTACGCAAGCGGCCGCAGCCCGGCAGCGCTGCACTCCCCGTACGCGCTGCCCCGGCCCCAGAGCTTTCGCGAATACGGGTTTGCGCACTGCGGCGGGGCTGCGCCGCAACCAAGCTTGCCCTGTGGCTCCGCCCCGCCGCCCGGCGCGGATTGGTGGTGGGCGGCAACCCGGCTGCCGATTGGGTAGCGAAGGAGCCATTCGGGGCGGCTCTGGTGGGTTCGGCTGCCCCAGAGTGATAAGTTCGGCTTCAGACACGCCTCAGCGCCAGCAGCGAGTTGGAGCTCTATGGAGGCGGCGGCGGGTACCGGGTGGTGGCTGCAGCAGCGACTCCTCTGAGCTGAGAGTTTCCAGTCCGCGACTCCTTCCTTCCCCTCCCTCCCCCTTTTTTGTTTTCCGTTCCCCTTCCCTTCCCTTCCCCGTCCCCGGCGACCGGATCCTGAGGAGGCAGCTGCGGCGGCAGCTGCTGAGTTCTCGGTGAAGGTGAGTGGAGTCGGCGCCGCCGGCACCGCCGAGCGCTCTAAAATGGCCGCCGTCCCCGGCCGCGTCTTCTTGAGCGGTACAAAATGGCGGCCGCAGGCGGAGTCGGGCGGGGTGGCCCTGTTCGAGCGTTTCTTCTGCATTTCGGGCGCCCGAAAATTCCTGGCCTCTGCTGTCCTGCCGTTGCTGGCTGACTAGAAGGAAAAGCGCGTCGTGTCGCG